GTACTGTGTTTTTATTTTTGCATCACTTTGTTTAAAATAACTTTAATTTTTGTCTGTTTATATACTATATTTTATACTTTTTAACATTTTTGTAAAAGGAAATCAACCAAATAAAAGTCAATAAAATAAATTGAATAAATCAGTTTGCAGTGGATTTATTACAGAAGAGGGAGGCAAACACTGTTTTATGGTGAGACGTCAGGGTATTATCAACTGGTGGTCCATGGGCCACATCTGGTCCTCAGGGTCAATAAAGCTAAACATGAGCTAAAGCTCTGACTTCCTGTTTCCTGGTTAAAAACAGATTCTGTGATTCCAGATTATCATTTCTTTTCGTCTCGTCATTTTTTACCAGAAAATTCATATTTTGGGATGAGAGGCTGAAGCAGAGGGAATCGGTGGAGTTTCCAGTTTGAGTCACAGCAGGTCAGACCTCCTGCTTCCTCCTGCTTCCTCCTCTTCCTCAACTCTTCCTCCTCCACCAACATTCTGTCAGGAATGAAATGAGTAATTCTGCAGGAAATCCCATCAGCTGCTGCTGGGAAGTCCTCGACTCGGTGAGCGCAGCCGAAGTTCCCTTCGTGACGATCTATGACTTCCTGCGATTGTTTCGGCTGTTTTATCTGCTGGAAGCATTAACAAGCAGCAGGCTGGTGTTTTTACACACAATCTGATGAATGACTTTAGGAAACACGGGCAGCCACAGGAAACCTGGAGAAATGTTTTTATCTGRCACGCTTTCCTCCTTCTAAATATTAAAAACCAGATTAGTGGGCGAAGATTTTCTCTTCAGCTAAAAATGAAAAACCAAAGGTGTTTCCTCYGTCAGCGACTTGATGACTTCATGACATCAGAGAAGAATTCTAACATTGGTTTTGTGTTTGTCTGTTAGTAAAATATCTGACGAAGCAGTGGCAGAATGTGAGTGAAACTCAAAGAATAATCCTTGGGTTCTTAGCGACGTTAGCTAACATGGAACTAGCTAAAGATCAGAGCTAAAGTCTGTTGTTCTGGCAGTTSGAAGGCGGCGCGTCGGGTCACGTAAAAACAGCCTGAGGCTGAAAATAAAAACAGGTTTTATCTGAATGTGTCGTTCAGAGCTGGTGACAGTTACACAACAAACTGTCCTGTTTAAAACCTTTCAATGTTTCCTGCAGCTGAAGGTGGTTCTCAGCAGCTGAAGGTGGTTCTCAGCAGCTGAAGGTGGTTCTCAGCTGCTGGAATCAGTGAATGTTTGTGCTGACTCCAGTTTTCTATTCATTTCTTCTAAATTTAGAGCGGTTCATTCATTCAGATAATCTTCTGTTAATAAGTAAATATTTAACCTGAATCAATATTAGCTGAAGGCTAACGTGCTTTTGTTACGTTAGTGAGAACAGAAGGGAGGAAGTTCAGACACAAAATGGTTTTTATTAAAGGAGAAGGAAATGCAGATGAAACAGACAGACCACATTTTAACTTGTCTTAACTTGTTCTCTGTTCATTTTAGCTTTTATTTTACTAGTTTTAGCTTATATTGTACTAGTTTTAGCTTATGTTTTACTTGTTTTAGCTTATATTGTACTAGTTTTAGCTTATATTTTACTTGTTTTAGCTTATATTTTACTTGTTTGAGCTTGTGTTCTGTTCATTTTAGCTTATATTTTACCAGTTTTGGCTTATATTTAAATTGTTTTAGTTTGTGTTTGGTTTATTTTAGCTTGTTTCTCTTTTACCTTGTTCTCTGTTTGTTTTAGCTTATATTTCACTAGTTTTAGCTTATATTTTACTAGTTTTAGCTTATATTTAATTTGTTTTAGTTTGCGTTCGGTTTATTTTAGCTTGTTTTTCTATTAGCTTGTTCTCTGTTTGTTTTAGCTTATATTTTACCAGTTTTAGCTTATATTTGTTTTAGTTTGTGTTCTGTTTATTTTAGCTTGTTTTTCTTTTAGCTTGTTCTGTTCGTTTTAGCTTATATTTTACTAGTTTTAGCTTATATTTTACTAGCTTTAGCTTATATTTGTTTTAGTTTGTGTTCTGTTTATTTTAGCTTGTTTTTCTTTTAGCTTGTTCTGTTCATTTTAGCTTATATTTTACTAGTTTTAGCTCATATTTGACTTGTTTTAGCTTATATTTTACTAGTTTTAGCTTATATCTTACTTGTTTTAGCTTATATTTTACTAGTTTTAGCTTATATCTGACTTGTTTTAGCTTATATTTTACTAGTTTTAGCTTATATTTTACTTGT